GTGCCAAGAGTGAGCTGCCAAAGGAACATGTGGGCCGAGGCCTCTGAGGAGCAGACATGGGAACGTGGGTCTAGGGCTCCAGAGAGAGGCTGGGCATGTGCTGAGCAGGCAGCCACCACTGGGCACAGAGGTCGTGGCTGAAGCTCTCCCAGCCGTGAGACCCCAAGGGAGGCGAAATGGCCTGGGGTGGGGGAGCTGAGGCCAGGGCCTCCTGGCAGGAAGAGACCTAAGCTAAGGGAAAAGAGTTTTCAAGAAGGGGGTGCTGAACAGTGTTCAATGTTGTGGCAATGGCAAGAAAGAGGAGGTGAAAATGCCCACAGAGTACATGACTGGAGACTTCTGGGAAGCAGGGCGGGCAGGGCTACGGAGGGATGCCTGGGCAATGAGAAACTGGAGGTGGCAAATGCTGTCTCCCCCTCCTTCCATCTCCTCACGTCTTCCCCCCGCCTCCATCTCACCTCCCACCTGAGCCCAGGCTCAGGGATGCCTGAAACAGGCAGCCCATGCCTATCACCGCCTTCTCCACAGCATCCGAGGGGGCCCACAGCACTGGGGGGCACTGGGTCAGGCACGGGGGAGCAGAGGCACTCCTGGAGGAAAGGCCCTAAAACCTAAAAATCTGAACTATGGAAGTGCCACACAGCTGCCTTCTCAGGATATCTGCCCAGTGGCCATTCTCCCAACTGCAGATTCTGATGGCCCTGTCCCCCCCACGTGTCTGGGAGGGAGAGCCCGGCTTCCAGGAGGTCCCCCTTCCAAGTCCTCCTGACCCATCGACTGTAATGTTCTCCCTGCCAAGAACTTCAGTTTTCACTTTGCTGCTGCAGATGAGTCAGACTCTCTGGATCAATTCATAGGAAAGGGCTGATCATGACAGAAAGTGCAGAGAGCAAGAGAATGTGTGCGTGCAGTGTGTGTGTGTGTGTGTGTGTGTGTGTGTGTGTGTGTGAGAGAGAGAGAGAGAGAGAGAGAGAGAGAGAGAGAAAGAGAGAGAGAGAGAGGTGGGTAGCACATGACTGTGATTACTGTAATGAGTGACTCACCGTGCTCCAGGAATTCCACACCACCCAGTCACTCACGAACAAGTCAGCCTCCTCCTGGGACCACTCTGATTAGAGAACAGGTTTCACCATCTTCCCCAGTACTCAGGCCCCAAACCTAGAAATCATCACGTATTCCTTTCTTTTCCTCACCTCCAACATCTCATCCATCACAAATCCTGTCAACTCTATCTGCAGAAGGCCTCCCCCATCAGTCTACGTCTCTCCAGGGCCACTTCCACCTGTCTGATCCTACCCTGCATCACCTCACTCCTGGAATCTACCCTTACCTCCTAACTAGGCCCTGTTTCCTCTTGTGGTACCCCTGAACCCCCACACACAATTTGTTTTCCTCACAATAAGAACTGTGTGGAAAAAAGCAACCGTAAAGCAGACCATGTCCATCTCCCACCCAGAATCCTTCCCCACACTTAGGGCAGAGCCTCACACCTCCCTGGGACCAGAGGGCCGTCGGGACCCTCCAGTACCTTGTATGGACCTCCTGGCCCACCGTGCTCCTGCCATGCTGGCCTTTGGGGTTCTTGGTGACACCAGCTCCTTCCCACCGTGGGCCTTTGCACTGGCTGTGCCCTCACCTGGCATGGTTGGCTCCCTGTGCCCTCAGGTCTCAACTTAAAGCTGTCTTCTCAGAGGGGCCCTCCCTGAAGAGCCCCGCCACAGCACACACCCAGTTTTTCTTGTGTCACCCCCTGTCCCTTCTGCATCACTGTTACTCCCATCCAACAACCTGTGTTCCGTACCTCATGCATTCAGCAAACATTGATCGATTGCTTCTTGTGCCAACCAGACGGGGCATGTGTTTATTCACCCTCAGTAACATGTCTGTTTCCTCTGAATGACTTAAAAGCCTGTGAAGAGAGGGTCACATAACCTCCGGGCCTGGCATGGAGGAAGGATTCAATAAATATTTGATTTGCAGGATGAATACGAGCTGCACAGTAATATGTACTCAGGAAATCGGAATTGGCCAATACAACTTCTTGCTTAGGTTTCATGGCTTTTGGGTGGCCAACACTCCAAAGTGACCCCAGTGCTGGGACCAGTCAGACCCTGTATGCTTCTCTAGATCAGAAAGGCCTCCTATGTGCAGGCCTAAGCTCCGTGCCAAGCTCTGTCCTGCCCCAGCCCACTCAGCTGTGGCACTCAGTAGCTAGCCACGGACAGGTCAAAAGGCTGCCCTACCCACAGCTAATGACCAGCTGGCCCTGGCTGGAGGTCATCCACGGTACAATCAAGTGACAAGTCTCCCCCAGTGCCCGTAATTCCCTTCTGTCCAAGTTTCCCAGATACCCAGGGTCTCAAAGCCATGCAAGGAGAGCGCTCAGGGAGCCAGCACACCCCGTGCCCAAGGCCTGTGCGCTCCAGCCCGACTTCCCAACCCCTGTGAGCGCCCATTCCTGCCTGCCCTGTGCCCAGCCTGGTCCCAACATCAGTTCCGGCACTGACGAGCCGTCCCGGACACTGGCCAAACACATGGGCCGTGGGGTCCGGCAAGGCAAGGCCGCCTCACATTCGCCTGACACCCACCAGCTCTGTGACCTTGGACAGATCACTGCACCTCTTGGAACCTGTTTCCTTCTCAGAAAAACGGAGACCATAAAAACACTGACCTCTTGGGCTGCTAGGGCAGTACCTCCTGCCCCTCCTGCCCTGTGGGCCCATGAGGTCTCACCAGTGCCAGAGCAAGGGGCAAGGTGGGAGAGGGGGAACAGCTCCTTTCTGGCAATGTTTCCATGGCTAATTTCATTACCAGAAATTACAGCAAAAGGATATGAATCAGCACAACAAACAGGTACAATTCAAGCACCAGGTGTGTACTCCGCTGGGCCCCAGAGATGGAGAAAAGTCGTACCTCCTCATGGAGGAAGGTAGCCAGAGGGGGAGAAAGACCTATAAACAGAACCGCGGAGCTGATGAGCTGCACGCTGCATAATGATGACTGCGGAGAGTGCTGGGAATACAGTGGAGTCATCAATCCCACTGTGTGGAGTGATTCGAAGGAAGGGGAAAGATGAGTTTGGTCCCCTCCACTTCCCCAAAGCTCTGTGCCAACCGCGGTTCCTGGACTAGCAGGACAGGTGGGTGAGAGGTGGCTTGCAAGACTCCCTACTGTTGTTACCAACTACATAGTTTACAGGGGCCACTGGGAGTCACAGTATCACTGACAGTAAGGTCTGTGCACCATGAGATCCGTAATTCATTCCTCCAGGTCTGCACATAGTTCCCAGCAGATCAAGAAACAATAACAGCATCTGAAGGATGGAAAATTCATTTAAAACAGAATCTCCAAGCAACTTTTGAAAAAGCCTCATGGCTCTGACAGGCTGGGAATCACAGGGCTGGCAGCAACTGCAAAGACCAGTGGCTTCCAAACTTGCTTCTGAGCTCCAAAGCCATTGCTCAACTGACATTCACCCGTCCACAAGCCCAGTACATAAAACTGATGCAGAAGGGGCTGCTCGGCTGGAAACAGTGCCCAAGCTGTCTGCTGGCACCCTATCTCCTCTCCTCCAGCCCCTGATGGCCCCCAAGGCAGCTCCAAGGAACCTCTGGGTCTCCATGAAGCACTGATGGAAAAACCGCAAGTGTGGGCCAACCTCTCTGAGTAGATCCGGGAACACAAGCCCCACAGAAGTCACGCTCTGAATGGCTCCGGAACACAAACCCAGTTTTCTGACTCCACACTAACACTTCTCGCTCTACTTTGCTAAGGCTAGATCTGTGGAAAATTGCAATTTAAAGAAACAAGGCTCATTTCTGAGCACCTACAACCGAATCCCTAAGTATTTTAAAGGTCCCTAAACTAGCCAAGTATGAAACAGAGCCCAGCCCCATGGACTGGCAGAAAGAAGTTCGGAAATGAATTGCAGAAACACAGCTGACAATTCCATATAGTTTCCTTCAGTTCCGTGGGACATAAACAGGTCTTGAAAGGCATGGGCTGTGTGGCTGTGAGAGACCCTGGACCAGGCAGGCCAGGAGGTGAATGCTAATGAGCAATGGAAATAGCAATTACTTCCCCCATGTCAGGCACTGTGCCAAGCTGGGGAGGATAAAGAGGTCTGAGATATTTTTAAAGTATTTTTACAGCAGAAAAACTTTCCTACAGACTCAATTATATAACTATCAGACTCCACCTCTGAGCTGAAATTATCCAGGGCCTACAGGAAAAATAAATAAATTTTCCGTACATGAGGGTCACAGGTTTCTCCAGAGAAACTCAGCTATATGGCCAGCAACTCGGGGCAGCTGTGAACCATCAGCCCAGAGACTTGCCCCAGGGAGGGTTGGAGGCTGCAAAAGTGTACCAGCCACACCGTGTCAATGCCCAGCCATCTCACACGATGCTGTGGGGTCCAATAAGGTGCACTCGCAGGCCTTCCAGTTACATCAATGTCCTCACAATGTCCTTGTCCCCACATGGGACTGAGGCCACTGAAGGAACAAGGATGCTTGGAGAAAGTTGGGGTTCCTATGGCCAGGATCCTCACCTGCCCCTAGACTACTTGGTGATGTAACTGGCCTGCTGCTAGGCTCCTGCTTCCACACCTGTAGGCAACAAGCTATTATTGACTGAGTCACTATATAAAGAGCTCTGCCCAGGGCTCTGGGTGGAGGCAGAGACAAGGAGGATTACAGACCTGCAGACTGTTGGAGGCAGACATAATTCTAGTGCTCGACCTATCACCGGGGGGACAGCCAGGTAATAAACCCCTTCACCCCAAATAGGTTCCATTGTCATTCCTTGGTCTCACTGAATCCATAGCTGAAACCCACTGGCAAGACAGATGCCCAGGGAGCATTTCATTAACCCACAGGAATCCCCTGTCATTGGCAAAGGGCAGACAGGGAAAGCTTTCTGAGGCTTAAGGAATGAACCACTTCACCAATGAAATGACAACCAAAATCAAAGGAACAGACTTAGGGAGATTAACTTACAGCCCAGGTTTTTGTCAGCCTGAAGATGGGTGCACTTTGTAATGCTGACACCACAGACATGAGAGAATGAAGGTTGTTGAGTTCTAGGAGTTTCTGAAAAAAAGATATGGAATAGATTATTTTGCTGCTATAAACAACAGAACAAAAAACATGCTCAAGTGTTACCAAATGTCATATTTATGAAATTCAATTACACTTAAAAATATGTTGAAAATACAATTCTAGAAAGTTCATAGAAACCATATGCTCTTTTCCTCTCGAACTGTCAGAAGGTGAGTCTGCATCTAAAACATGTGCAAAATTTCTTAAGCTGACTTGCCTGGTTGCTCGACAGAAACATGGCTCAGGATAAGGTTTGATAATATCCTTTATGTTCTTTTTTTAGACAAATCGGAACTGTCCCAGCAGGCTTCTGTAAACTGAAACCTCAGCTGTGCAAACAGTATCAACGTGGGTCTTCTGCGATTACCTTTAACACCCGGAATGAGAGAGGCTGAGGAGAGATGTTATCAATCTGCATGATCCTCCCAGCTGGGAAGACAGAACTCTGGCTCTCAATCACCTGACCATGCTCCTTGGAACCAGACCCCAAATTAGTGAGAACATTTGGATTCAGTTCAGTCTCAGACAAGGCCCTTTCCATGGAGGACAACAGAAGGGAGACACAGTCGAGAGTAAGTGCAGAAAGACAGAATGGCTGTTCTTGGCTTTCTGCTAAAGGAAGCCTGCTAACAGGACTAGGGTCCATTTCTCATTCGTGGGAGTCATGAAGTATGGGTTAGTGAGCAGGCTCTGGAACCAAGAGACCTGGTTCCAACCCCAGCTCACATTGCTTGTCTGTCCTCCGGCAAGTCATCTCGCCTGCTGAGACTTGGTGTCCTCATTTCTCAACCGAGGCAGGTAACCCAGGCACCTGTGTGGCATAGGTCAGTGCACATAAACTGCCTCGACCAGTGCTGGGCACCGGGGTGGGGGCTCGGTGAGGTACAGGCTGCTCATTCGTTGTTGGGAGTACTTGTTCCCCCACCCTCATCACCTTCCTGAGCACTTTCGAGTTCAGACGCCCTCTGGTATGTCTTTCCGGACCATGTTCGCCGGTCCACGAAGATGGGGCCCCCGCCTGTGTGTTCCCACAGTGGTCTGAGTAACTCCTTAGCACGCTGGGCTGTGCTGGCTTTTCCATGCCTCACCTCGCCCTGCACTGTATTTCCTGGGAGTGAAAATGAAGCTGTGCCTGCCATCATATCCCTAGGGCAGCACACAGCAGGCCCAGTCTGGGCCTTATGCCTGGGCCTATGGCTCTGTTCCTACTCAGAGATTCTCCCTTACCAAACAGGTTAATACTCCACTTCATACATCTTGTAACATTCTCTAATTGTTTCCTGTGGGCAATAATAGATTCTCTGAGAGAACGGATTCCCTCCTCTGGATCTAAGTTGCTATGCTCGTAATTGACTTCCTTTCATAGCTGAAGGTCCTTTGAGGGATTAGTTCACCCCTTTCATTTTATAGGAGAGAAACCAAGGCCCAGAGACAGGAGTGGGCTTGCACAAGAACACACCAGGGCACAGTGCCAGCATGATGGTCCACCACGGGAAGAAGGCAGAGGTTTAGGAGGCATCGTATTGAATTCCTGGGGTGGGGACGGTAAACTCATTTCCAAAGTGAAAGCACCAGGTGGGCTTGAACGTCATCCCACTTCCTTTCATGGCCCAGCATGACCTCACTGACAGCAACATCATTCAGCCTAGCATGGTTCTAAGTACTTCAGAGTTACAGGACATAAAAGTGCCCATTGCCCCGGACCCACTCATCAATGGGTGCACTCCACCGTCCCCTGAGGGTCAGTGGAGCAGCTCCCCAGAAGGCAGAGAGATGTGCCCCAGTGGACTCACTGTGGGGCCCTGGCGCGGACACCTTTTTGCCTCTGGAAATGGGGTGATTAATGTGAGCCTTTCAGTACTTCACAAAATGCTGAAATGAAGTTTCAGCCCACTGGTACCTGGCTCGGGCAGGGCCTGGTACAGGTTGGTGGGCCTAGGATCTGGGTGGGTAGATAGGGCAGGCACGTGCAGCAAGCAGTGACCTGGACAGAACGGTGCTCTGTTCCTGCCATCAGCAGCAGGGTATGCGGAGGGGCCGGCAGGCTGTGTGAGGGTAGCGAGGAGTCCAGGCAGGCCCGTGGGGTCACCGCTTGGGCTGGTGGAGGTGGGGGTGTGGGGAGGTAGGGCAGGCACGAGCCTGGTACCCAACAACTGGCAGAGACAGAAGCTCTCAGGTCAGCGGGCAGGCGGTGGGAGGATGGGCCAGCAGGGTGGTCAGGTCCAGGCCTTTCCCTCCAGATGGGGAGGGGTGAGATCTGCTGACTAGGGACAATGCTGTGCAGGATGCGATGGTATCACAAAATCCATCAACCCCCCGCACTGGCCAAATCTGGAGGAGGATGAATGGATCCTGACGGAGTCCCTGGGGCCTCGTGGAGTCTGTAAAGGGCCAGCTAAAGAGAATGGTTAGCTGCCAAAACCATGGGGCAGCAGGGCATGCTGCCCATGCGTGCACAGAGGCTGGGAGCCGAGGGGGCAGCCAGGCCGGTCGTACAGCTGCCTCTGGGGAAGTTGGGTCACACCGCCTGTTTGAGCCCTGAGTAAACTGTCAGCAGGCCATGAACAATACAGCTCCCAAAGCACTGGGGAAGCATATTTGTGAGATTAAAAAAAAAAAAAAAAGAAAAGAAAGGAAGAGAAAAAATATAATAAAACAGCTTACCTTGGCTATTTTCACAAAATGGCTCAGGATTTCTGCCCTTATTTTTAAAGTCTGTGCTGTCAGAATTTCTCGTACAACCCAAAAACTGACCTGTAAAATCGAATACACACATACACACATACACACATACACACACACACAAACAACAGAAAAGTTGTTAAATTGCAGACCACCCGTGCCCGCCTTGCCCACCACTGCTAGGGGATTTCCAAGAGGTTGGGAAATTGGGGGAGCACAGCCGAGGGCTGCGCGAGGTCGGGGGTTCCTTCATGATGCCCACCCTGCAAATGGGTCCTTTCCTCAGCACCTCCTCTCCAGCACACACAGGGCTGCTGTGAGAAGTAACCACTTCCATTATTTCCAGGGGCTGCTGGGTGTCTCTCTGAAGGTGCTGCAGGAAGTTTTGAGGTGAAGCAGCCTAGATTCCTGCTCAGATGGATCCCAGCTGTGGAGAGCCTATGGATGGACAAATGGCCATAGGGACATGCCTACTGGCAGCTCCGCCCATGCGACCCACATCCTCAGCCACACCTGCGATGGGAAGGCTCACCAATAATCACACAGTTGCAAAAACCTTAATTTCCCAGGAGAGGTTAACTCAATAGTTTGAATGATACAAAAACATCTTCCAAATTTCCATAAGCAGTGAGGGTGAAGGGCATGTTTCTCAGAGGACAGCCTAGGCCAAGGGGATATACAGGCGCTTCTGGTTCAGAATATCACTCATGCTTGACCTCTCACATAAACCAATATCCCTAAGCCCCGGAGTCCCTGTGGAAACAAGAAAGGCGTCTAGCAGTGTATAGTTGACTCACATGACACCTCAATGAAACACAGAAGGGACTTTATGCCAAGAAATGCTGGGAAGTGATTAGCTCCCTTGTTTATGTTTCTCAACTGTAACAACAGTTCTATGTGAAACACAGATGCCAGGAGGGCAATGATAGCCCTGCAAAGAAGGGCGCCAACTGGGCAGAGTATGGGCGACATGTGCAATTAAAGGGGCATCTAAAACCTCTACATTTTGAAAGAAAAAAATAATTCAGGATATTCCAGGGTTAACAAAGCACATTTATTGCAGCCAAATATCTCTTTACAGAAACACTGTCACTCTTCAATGAGAAAACAAGGAACAAGTAACCAAGGATCAAAACTTTGTTTTTCATAATAAGCAGGAATATTATAGAAAAGTTTTCTCTAAGTAATTATCTGTGGTTGCCTCCAGGACATCCCTGGGTTTCCACAGAATAATTTTTTCCAAGGAATTCTAAATCAAGTTCAAACTTAAATGTTTACTAGCCAGTTATAGAAGATTTTCTGAACACCAGATGACATGCCCATAAACCTTATATTTTAACATGCACATTCTTATGCCACATAATCTCAAGTGTGATAATTTACATGTGTAATTTAATAGATTTCTGCATGCCAAAAAATCACACATATTTAAGGCATAATTATGGAACATGGCAGAGTTGTCTCTGATCCGCAGCACGTGGCATGCAAAGGCAATTCTGAGTCAGTTCAACAGACTCTCATGAAGCCCGTAACTGCACGCAGGCTGTAGGCACTCTGAGTCCTTGCCTGATAAGGACGTGACCAAAGGAAGTGGTGGCATTGCCCAGAAATCACCGTATTTAAAGGGCAAGCTAGTGATTGTGGCCATAGAAGTTCACACCAAGTGAACTAGAATATGGGGAGGTAACGAAAGAGGAAGGTTTCTTGGAGGAGGCAAGCCTTCAAAGATGGACTTTCAACAGGTGATGATAGGACTGAGGTATGACTGAATACTCCAAGACCAGGGAGAGCTGAGGAGACCAACAGTGCTCTGTGGGGCCAGGATAGAGAGATTGAAGCGGGGAAGTGAAGGAAAGGCCAGACTGGGGGAATCAGGAGCAAAAAGGTGACAAGAAGAACCTCAGACACTATTCCACGTGGGGAGAGTTCTGGCGACTTTGAGCAGAGGACTGGCAGTTTAGATCCTTTTGCAGGGGCAGGATCACCATTAGGAAGCCGATGCAACGGTCTAGGTGAGAGACAGGAGGCCTAAGCTAGGGCCATGCTGAAGCAGTTGGAAGAAGGGGCAGGTAAGAAAAATACTGCAAACGTAGAATCAGCATAGTTTTAAACGTTTTTTATTCTCTTTTCTCACTACCAAATCGAAGAGAAGCTTAATACAGAAAACAAGGCAAACAGAGATAGCACAAAAGCAGAAATCATTCGCAACCTCATTCTCACATAGAGACCACCACGATAAACACTGTGGTATGTGTCCTTCCAGTCTTTTCCCATACCTAGAACATGTTTGTCTTTTTCAGTTAAATTGGTGTATATTAATCATATTATCAGAAGAATTTCTATAAGTGAATAAATCTTCTACAATATAACTTTAAGCGACTACCAATATACCTTAGGGATATATCACATTAAGTAACCCCTTATTCTTGGATAGTATATTTCTAATTATTTTATTGTAATAAACAATGCTGTGGGGAACATATTTATGCATATATATTCATACATTTTTAATGAAGATCTTCAGATAAATTCTTGTGAGGTGGAGTAAATAAAAGTATGTGTACTTTTTTTCAAAAGTGTATATATAAAAACTTGACCTCTAAAAGTTCTGTTTATCCATCGACAAGTTTGAGCAGCCCTGAGTTCCAATTGAACAGGCAAAGGCCAGTCATTACAATTCTCAGAAAACTTTACTAACCTGGACGAAATAATGTTTCACTATTTTCTACTTTGTACTTCTTTCATAACTACTTAACAATATTTTTTAACTTTTGGTCAGTTTTTTGTTACAAATATTTATAGACCATTTGTGCTATTTGTCCTGTGAATTACCCATCCATGTCCTAAACCCATATTTCTATTGGGATATAAGAAAATATATAAAGAAAATACATTAACCCTTTGTGAATCTTGATACTTTTATGCACTGTTTGGGGGAGTATAATATATTTATAGGACCATTTTGAAGAACAATTTCAATATATCTTACAAGATGTCAAAGTTATTTTCTCCCTAGGATATTTATTTTATGAAAATTCAGAAATTTAGAGGGATGTTTGTACACAGATTCCCTGAAGCAGTGTTTAAAAAGCAGAAGAATAGAGAAAAACAAAATGCCCTATAGGAAATTGGTTACATAGATAATACTATCACCTCAAACTTTGGAAGGAAGTCACTATCAAAGGATTCTTCTGCATAGGAGGTTTGTCCATTCTCTCCCATTTATTTATTAAATCGTTTATTTATATCAGAATGGACTCACATTTATTTTATACTTTGGGTTATAAACCAATACTATGTTATTTATTTTTTTGCTCAAATTGTGCCAACTTTGGGCATCGAGAGCTCTTTCAGTTGGCTTTGTCCTTTTGACATACCCTTTGCACTGTTTTGGTTTGTTTGAGCATTTCCTTACTTTCTGGCACTACAAGATGCTACAGGCTCATCTTACACATGTCTTGTCCCAGTCCTAAACCAGCCACTTCCCCAAGAATCCTTGCTTCCTTTTATGACATAATGATTTTAGAAACCAGGATCTGGGTGCTGGGTGTGCTTATTGCTACTTGGGTATCATTTCTGGTCCTCTCAACCTCAAGAGTAAGGAAATTGTGTGTGTGTATGTGTTTGTACACCAACCTATGTATGTACACCTATCTATAAACACTTCTATATGTAACCATCTGTATCTACATGAAATTAAACATGAGTCAATACTGTCGTCTCCCACTCCAATCCATCACAATAAGGAGGGATCATTCTAGCCTTCTCCCATTGTTTGTAACTTTCCACTCCAGAAGTGAGAAACCTGGTTCCTGCCACCTGCCATCCATTTCCTTAACTGTTCGATTCCAGTACAAGGTACGGTATAACAGCTCCAGAATTGTTACCCATGCCCCTTGGGAAACAACTTTATCAAACAGAGTCAGTGCTTACATACAGTTCCTTTTGTCTTTGGTCTAACAGACCCCATTAATTTTCAGTTACTCAGGCCAGCACCTTTTTCCCTTGCCTCCTCAGTGAGGTTGTCCCACACATTTATGGTACAGTTAGACTCTTTTGTTATGCTCTGCATTCCATTCTGGGATCCCTTAATCTCCACGGTGAATATTTTTTTTAGATTTGCATATACTAAGGTTTGCTCTTGCTGCCATGAAATTCTATGGGTTTTTATAAGCTCATAGTGTCATGCATCCAACATCACAGTATCATACAGAATAGTTTAACCACTCTGAAAACGTCCTGTGCCTCACCTACTCGACCTTCCCTTTCTCAAACCTCTGGTAACCACTAATTCATTGACCATCTCTATAGTTTTACCTTTTCCAGACTGTCAAAAAGGGGAGGGGGAGAGTAATTATACACATGTTGCCTTGTCAAACTGATTCTTTCACTTGGCAATATGCATTTAAGATTATTCCATGTCATCTAGATGGCTTATTCTTTTTTTTGGATGAACACTCTCCTAGATCTACCAGGTTTTCTATCCATTCACCTATTGAAGGACATCTTAACTACTTTCAGTATTTGACAATTATGAATAAAGCTCCTATAAACATCTGTGTGCTGTGTGTATGTATAGATGTAATATTTCAAATAAGCTGGATAAATATGTAGGAATGCAACTGCTGGATCATACAATTTTGCATTCCCATCAGCAATGAATGAGAGATTGCACTGCTACAGATACTTGCCAGCAGTTGGTATTGTCAGTTTTTTTTTCTTTTTAATTTAAGCCATTCTAACAAGTATGTAGTGTTTTGCATTTCACCAATGACAAATGTTGTTCAGTGTCTTTTCATATGTTTTTCTGCCATTTGCACATCCTCTTTGGTGAGGTGTCTGTTCAGATCTTTTGCTGATTTTTTAATTGTTTTTTTTTTTTTTTGAGCTTTAAGAGTATATTTTGCACACATATCTTTCATCAGATGTGTTTTGCAAATATCCTTCCAAATCTGTGCTTTGTCTTTTATGTCTCTTAAGAGTGTCTTTTGCAAAGTGAAAAATTTTAATTTTAATAAAATCCAACTTAGCAATTTTTTCTTTCATGGATTGTATTTTTGGTGTTACATCTA